CTACTCTCGTAAACAAAAATTCAATATAGGAGTGTTTTTTTTTAGCAGATTGTTATAAAATTAGTTGTTTTTACCTCCAATTCAATCATTTGATAAGCAGCCGTTTAAATAGTTTTTTTAATCCAGCGCCGATTTCAGAAAAAGCTCTATATGAGCTTTCTGAATTAATGAATTGTAAAATTAATTAAACAGTTTTTTTAATCCAACGTTAATTTCAAAAAAACTCAATGTATGAGCTTTTTTGTAATAAAGAATTATAAAATTAATTAAATCTATGTATTATCAAACAACTAATCATTTATCAAATACTAGTGAATATCTCGTGCGATGCACGACGGGCTTATTTCTTAAAACATTTGTTTAAAATTTTATACAATATATTATGTAGTCAAGATTTTCCAAACTTTATTTGACAAAATGATTTAAAAAGTCCATATAAATTTTATGCTTTCCAAACTATAAGAAGGTATGAAAAATTTAACAAATTTCACAAGATTGTATAGCATGATTTTTTTAAAAATAATATGTATCAATCCTAAAAAAAACATGAGTAATTAGATAGTATTATCTGTGAATTTTATGATGGAATTTTTCTAAACAACTTTTCAATCAACCGAGGAGAGCGAAGTGAGACTTGTATAAGAGATTAACTATCTTCTATGACTGAACTTCGCCAATACTTTCCAAAACTGAACTGGACGGATGAGAAAAGAATATGACTGCACCAAAGATTATGGAAAGCAAGATCGCCTTACTGGATGGCAGGCATATCGATTTTTAAGTGGAGCTGCTCGACTGAAAGAAAGGTTTTGGGTGGTTCTCATTGATTGAGTCGATCCACCCGCTGGCGAAGGAAGAAGGTCGTTTACAAAACGATTTCCAATCTGATTATAGCATAGCTCTTTCTCTTTATTCATTGTCCCCGGCCGGTGAAGTTTCACCGGATTCAAAGACCAACATTTGTAAACTTGTGCTTCAACGGATTAGAGTATTGAAATTTATGATAAAAGATATCCTCAAAATATTGTGTTTGATTTTTTTTATTGTTAATGTACACAAAATAATGGAAAAACCTAAATTATAAAAATGTGGTGTTTTCATGTATTTTTTGAAAAAATCAATTTAAGTCGGGGTTTTCAAAAATTTTATGTAACGAATAATTTATATAGTTCCTATAAATTTAGATTCTTTCCAAACTGTAATTTGGATTCTTTCCGAACTGTAATAAGGCGTTGAAGGTAAATAAATATGAACACCCGTGTAATTTTTGGTAAATTTTGTTTCATTGATTGTTTAGGCGGGATTTATTTTTTTTAAAAAAAAAATCACAATTATGAATTGCAATTTAAAATTTAAAACAAAAATTATCTAAATTTTTTACCGTAATTAATCATATATGCTATCAATAACAATAAATTAATTCTCATATACATTAAACATTTAATATGCACATCCCATAAATAGATATTAAGCATATTAAATAAAAAATGACATTACGCATATCAAATTTATTATGTAATAATAAGTTTATGATGTAAAAGTATTTACTTGGTTTCAAAATTTTCTTTACAGGTTGTCACTTAATGAAAAAAAAAATTAGATTAATTATTTCTTAATCAAAATCAAATCCAATATGTTTAGTATAATATATCAAAAATCATATGGAAATTATCGATATTCATATAGATATTATTATTATTATTATTATTATTATTATTATTATTATATATGTAATATATTTCCTATATTATCTCTACCAATAATATTATGGTTGAAATTAAAGAAGATACTCCTTTGATTTTCCTACAATTATGGTAACAAATCTCTATGATCAATATTATGACCATGTTTTTAGGAATTAAGGTTTACATAATATCTTTCTCAAATAAAAAAAATTTAAAATTGAATTCGAATTTTTATTTGGCCGCCATTTCTAAAAAAAATTACTAAGAATAGTAACTTTGAAAATTTTAAGCAAAAATTTCAATATTATGTCAAGTAAATCTCTCTCTCTCTCTCTCTATTATATAGTAATAGATTTACAAAAAACAATTCAATATATTTAGTTATTTACACACAAATTCATAAATATTAATAATTTATGGAGGATTGGAGTTTATCAATATTCATTATATTATCAATTATTCTCGCAATAATTTTTTGTTTGATTTACAATATTAATTTGAATGGAAAAATATCCGTAATTGTTGGGATATATCAATTCAAAATTTCAAATATTTGGCATAAGAATATTTAAATTTGTTATCAATAAAAATAGATTCCTATGGGATTAATATTTAAAACAAATTAAATATAGGTATAAGATTCTCCAAATTTGTTACCATAAGAATCTCCAATTTTTTTAGGATATCTCAATTAAATTTGATTCTTAAAGATTTACATGTATTTTTCTGAAATTTCCACTAATAGTAAGTCAAACCATTTATTTTTTTAGTCAAACTTACTATAAAAATATTTTTCCAACAACTTCTTTATATTACTATAGATTTTGGATAATCAGTTAAATTAGTTAAATTAATCAAGTAGTCAAATCTCTTAATTCAATCCGCTATCCATTATTAGGTAAATGCCGCAAAGTGTTCTATTTTATGGGGTCTGTAGAGGAATCTTTCACCTAAATGCTGATATTATTATTATTATTATTAATTGATTGTTGTGTACATGGATAGTGTTAATTAATAAATAAATTAGGTCTGAAATTTTCGTAGGGTCAGGAAAACGGAACTCAAACCACACACCTCATGGTCATGGGCCGTATAAAATTAATTAATGTATTTATGGGTCGTTTGTATTAATTTCTCTTGCTGGCATTTGTCTACAGTTTGTCCCCACATTCTTGGCTTGGTTTTTGTGGTGTCAAGTGAGAATTATATTATAGTGACTTTTCACCGGATCATTTTTTTAATATAAAATTTAACTCAAATTTAATTCAATTCATTTATTTTTAATATTATCAATGTAAGAAAATTATATCAATTAATTATTTTTACACATCATATTAACCTTAATTCATTATTCGTCTCTTCATATTACCATGTCCAGTCACATACCATCTATTTTTACATCAAATTAATTTTAATCATTATATTTTAAATTTATTTCAATACAAATTCAAAATCTATTCAAATCTAACTCAATCAACTTTTTTAAAATTAATTCCAACAAATCAAAACGAAAATAACTTATAATAATCACCCCGTTGTCAAAACATATTTTGGGCAGAGTTTGGTGAGTGTACCATATTGTTTTTAGAAAAATAAAAAATAAAAAATCACTGTTTAGATGTTAGCCATTTTGTGGGTTTTTGGGGGCCATATGACTCGATCGCCTTATATTTGCGAGTAGCTCAAATTTGTTTAAAATTTTAGTCCTTTTATTGTTTTTGCATATTAAGTGGCTAACCTTTAAACAGTTATATTTGTTGAATAAATATATATTTTTACAAAAATAATAAAAGTAACCTAATGTAAAAATATATTTACACTTTAAGAAATAATATGAATAAAAGTAACCTAACACATTCAATTGTTCAGTAAGCCAAAAAGTCTGCTGTGAGGTCTGCCTGGTTATTAGATAACTATACATTTCAAATAATGTAGTACATACTTTCAAGTTCAAATGTCATAAAGTGAAGAGTGACTTAAATAGAAGTACGACATTTTATATAATCTATATATATATATATAATAAGAATTAACATTTACCATAAATAGTAGTAAGGAAAAATCAACCACATTTATTATATACTATTTTCAGTAGCTTTTACATTTTACATTTTAATTTTAATTCATTATCAAAAAATTGGATGGTTCCTAAATTAATGGTTTTTAAATGCACGTATCATGTTTCGAAAATTATAAGTCATTTAAAATCGAAGGGTTCATAAATTAATGGTTACAAACTTTTCAAAGTTGTAATCTTTATGGCATCTTTTCATTTTGACTTTTAATAATAAAATTATTTTAAATATATATATTCTAATCCAAAAATTCAATCATGTTAAATATATATATATATATTGAACGCTAAAAATATTTTTTAAATTGCATACCTAATCAATTAATCTTAATTTTTTTTAAAATTACTATGTTTATTTTTTATTAATATGCATAAAATAAAAATAAATAGTTCATCTTTGGATATATAATTTATAATCTTAATATACTATCATTTGGTGTAGACATATGAATCATAAAATATTTTTATTTCATAAAATTAAATATTATATTTAAAGAAAATAAGGAAATTACTTTGGATCAATCGGGTGATTGAATTAGGGTACTGCCCACTTTGATTGAATTACTTTTAGGTGATATTTAAAATAGTCAAAAAACTTGACATAACTTGGTTGGTCCGAGGTAATTAAGTTATGTATCAGTTTGACCAGACCAAATTGATTATTGAACCTAAATATAAATTTTAATATTAAAAATATTTTATTACGTGAATGTGATGTCGTCCAAACTTCAAATAATCATCTTAACAATACTTTTATGACAACATGATTAATGATTTATGAACATTTATATATCATTTTATTATTATTTATGTGAACAAAATATTTATTTCATTATCATTTTTATTAATGTACGGTAAATATAAGGTTTTCAGAATCGCACCGTCTTGTGGTTGTTCAGATTTTAATACATAATACTTTAATATATATATATATATATATATAGTACTTTTTGTAATAAATTTAAATAGAAAGTGTTACTTAAATATCTAAAAAAATTATAAATTCAAATGTTTAGACTAATTGATAAACAATTTATAAATCTCTATTTTATTTAAATGTATAATTTTATTTAAAATAATTTTTCATGTAACAAAATTTGTTTAGAAAATCGTATCGATCTTACCAGTCCAACATATTGGTGTTGGCGGATTCGATAGCAAATATTTTATTCAAGCGCACTAAATCGGTTATAAACAGGTTCTCGGTCCATCCCGTCGGACTGTGTCCAATTCGGGTTAATTTATAAATAATGGGTAAATCATGATTAATGTTATTTATTTATTTAATTTATAATACAATCAAAATATTATTTTCCCGTGCATCGCACGGGCCACGTACTAGTAATAATGTATATAAATAAGAATGTATATCTTTTGAAAAAATTATGATGGATCCACATGTCTAGAGGTTATTAAGTTGTCTCAAACAACAGTTTATGTAAGTATATATATATATATATGTTGTTTGAAAAGTACGAGTGTTTGATCCATCTCAGTTTTAGACTATCTGAAATTTTAAATAAAATTAAACAACTTCGAAGATTTGAAATACTCACTATTTATTCATCACCCTTTTTTATATGAACTTGATTTGAATTGATTCAATTAATTGTTAGTGCTTTTATCGAAGACATTAATATCACTCCAACATTTGTCACGATCGGACTACAGTAATAAGAAAGATGTGTCCTGGTCTGTTTGGTTTATTGGTATCGTTAATTACTAAGAGTATTTTGATCGTGTTATTTATTAATGTCATTTAATAGAAAATGTCATAACAAAATTGAGTTTCAGCCCTTTTATTGCATAATGAAATGATGTTCAAGTGACGAGATAAAGGATAGAGGCGCTACATAGATAAGTGCATACCATATTTAAATATGTTCGAATTAAGAAAACATAATTATTCATGCATACAGTTGTCTCCACTATGATATAATGGTGGGAAAAATAAAATAAATAAATAAATACAACATATTATAACACATACACTATTATTTTATTCTGAACAGAAGCTGTAAGTAAAATTTTAAAAGTTATGTGTGCGTCTATATTTAAAATCACAAGTTAAATAATTAGCATGTCACATTTTATAAATTTTGTTGTTAGTAGAATTGAATAATTACAAATAAACGAATATCAGTCAGTTGGCATAGACTCAGCAAGGTATGGAAAGGATAGCTTTCAATAGATCGGTAAGACCAGGTTCTACCTGACGGTCTCTGGCAGTGAAAGAGACGAAAGACTAGAAATGGCTAAAAGAAAGCTCGCATGTCGGGGAAGCGCTCTATACTAGAAAGTGTCACTTGGTATGGCTAAAGCCGGTTGATACGAAGACTTCTTGGAATCACAAAAATTGGATCATTGCTAAAGGCCTAAAAAACAATCTTATATGCACGCTGGCTGAAAGAGAGCTTGCATAAATCCCTAAGTTTAGCGTAGCCCTGCAAGGGATTCTCCTACGACTACCGGCAACAAGGAGACTACTTCAAAGACTCTTTGACCTATAACCTACTGACCTCGAACGTGATTGATAGTCATATGAGGCTGAATTGCACGTGTGAAGCAGTGCCATTCCTTTCCTAAATGGCTAAGCGCTTGGCATCGGCTACAATTTCATTGCCTTCCTTGGGATGGGAGCTGACGGAATACCATCTTAAAGAGATAAGGAAAATTCTCATCCCTTGGCTTAGGTATTACCAGTAGAGGTGCGTAACATTTTAAACTGTAACCCTTCACCCCTCTCCTTTACAGTCGAGCAGCTTTCGCCGAATGTTAAATCATATTAATTTTAGTAATGTAACTTTTACAATTTTGAGTAATAATGACCAGTTAATTATATAAAAAAGTATTAAAATTATTATTCTAGAAATTGTGTACGAAATTTTAAGTAGTTTGATTATGCCATAAAAATCAGTTAATGAAGTTTAATTAAAAATATCTTAATGAATTGAGAAAAAATAAAAAGATAATAATAATTTTATACAAATCGTTTGAAAAAAAAAATGTAATAAAGTTTTGTATATGTATGTAATTTGCATATATTATATAGTGTAACTTTATGATTAGTTAGTAATAGTTATTATATAATAAATAAAAATATTTAATTAATGCACAATGTAATAGTTTTATTTTTTGTATTTTTTTTTTCCAATAATGCTCTTATTTGCAATCTATTGCATTAAGCTCGAAGATATAAACGCACGGATTCTATTAAACTGATTTTAAACCCACAAATTTTTAAACGCAGGATTCTATTAAACTGATTTCTAATTTTTAATATATTGAACGAGTTTTTAGTAGCGATAAAGTTAACAAGCTTATCTCATTTCTAATCTTTTAATGTATTGAACAACCTAAATGTGTATAAGTCCATGACAACAAAGATGCTATTCACTAAATTTGCTCGAATTCTCCGAATCCGAGGTGACCCACTGCTCTGGCACACCTCCACTATATATTCTCCAGAGCCGATCTATATATTCTCCAGAACCAATTAGGATGATGGCATGTCTTGAGATTCTTGACGGAGAATATTAAATATTAAAATGTTAATAACCCTCATATTAAAATATTGAGAGACTTATATTAAACATATTTGAGTATCCTTCAATTACATCTTCATCTTAAATATTTACTAATATATAAATAGTTATTTTTATCGAGTTATACATCTTCATCTTCAATATTTATATATATATATATATATATATATGTATATATGTATATATTCGAATGGCTTATTATAGTTTTATCACATCCAATCCAATGGTATTACTAGTTTTGTCTATTACATTACTTTGTAAATATTCGATATATTATTTGTTAATTAAAGTCAATTAGATATCTTAGGAAGTAGATACAATAATTATCAAGTATTCTATAATATTAATAGTTAGTAAAATAATCTAGAAAGTTTTACAAAAATTTAATCAAATAGGTGAAATAGAGATGTATGTTATATTTTTACTCTTACTATTTAATAATAATACTGAGTATTAAGCTAGCAATTAAATACATCTTGCCTCGAGTTATTATATAATATATATATATTAATAAAAATATATTAATGAAGAAATATATTCACGTATCCTTTTATTGCTAAAGCTAAATCACTTATATGTACATATATATATATATATATATATATATATATATAATAAGTGCGGCATGAAGAAATAAAAATAATTTTATTTTTTTCCTCCTATTTGTTGGCGTAATTTTTTTTTCACGTTTTGTTAAGATTTTGATACGATTGTGATGAGGCACGCTGTTACAGAGACTTTCTACCTCCAAACATTGGGTGAAAAATGGTCACGCCACGTCAAAAAAATATNCTTTTCAATTGTACAATTTACTCGTATTATATTATAATAATTTATATATAATAATTTTATAGACAATTTATTTTATTATTTTTAATTTAGTATTAGTAGATAATTTATTTTTATAAAAATAAATAAAACAGTTATTTATTTATGCAATATGAATGTTCAAATCAAAGACTGTAAAAAATGATTAATTTGATGTATTAAAACTAATAAAATTGATTAAAAATAAATGTTATTACCTTTTAAAATTATATTTATAATTTCTGGTAATCGAGTGTTTATAATTTTAACAAGTAATAGATAGGTATAAATAAGTCTAAATGATTAATCCAAAGCATAAAAAATGGATGCATAGGGTTACGAGTTGCAAGCACCAAAAGTTGACATAAACTCTGCATTTATTTATATTTATTTATTTACATATCGGAAGGGATTAATTGAAAGTAATTTTATTTCACAAATATTGGCCTCCATTTTTTATAAATATATATTAATACTATAAAAGTATGACTTTTTATTTATTTTATTTTAGAAAAATATAAACTTTAATATGAAAATATGTTTATAAATTATAATGACAACTATGGTGACTTAACGGGTGGCTGAACATTAATCCTTTTATTTTCATGTGAACTATGACTATTCTTAATACAAGGGTGGAAATTCTTAGCTATATTTGAAATGTGCAAGTGAATTGGTCGGTTCTTAATGTTAAATGAAAATAACTTTTTAATAAATATGTTATTGAGACATATTTCCATGTTGGCTCAATAATCTGGCCGCAATTATGAGTTTCAGAGTTTATTATGTTGGATTTCATACCAACAGTCCAAGACTCCAAGCACAAATATTTCTATTAAGATTATTTTTATTGTTAACCGATTATATTTAATTGTGCTTTTAATATATTTTTTCTTATTTATTTATTATAATAGTTATTATAAATGCAACTATGTTTTTTTAACTTAACACTATTTATTAATTAACTATATTAACATATAATATATTAAATTAAGAGTTTTTATTATTCACAATTATAAATTTTTATTGTGTATATAAAATAGACTAATAATTATAATTATTGATAAATAAAATTAATTATTTATTTAATTAATTTAAAAAACCAACCTAGTTGAATTCAAGAAGCTTATAAGTTAATTAAACAAACTATAATTATTTTATATGTTTACTAAACACAACCTAAATCAATAGATTTTTGACTATGTTTGGTAAAAAATAGTTGATTTACTAAAATGTTATGACTTATAACTGAAAAACTAGCTTATTTGATAGTTGAAATAAAAATTTCAACCATTTTATTTAAAAAACTACCTAAAAAAATTTATGACATAAACTAAATAACTCGTTGACCAAACTAACTTTTTTTAAAACACGAAGAAATCAACTATAAGCCACTTAAACCAAATATCCAAATATCCTTGAAAAGAGAGACCAAACATAGCCTCGAGAGAGCGAGAGAGAGGAACTATTTCGTCGGTCATATTGTAAATCTCACATATACTCTCAGATTCAAGCAAATCAGACAAGAAAATATCACCAATTTTCTCATATCGAAATGGGTAATTCTGAGGAATCAAACCCTCTTTTGCCAAACCAAGAGCAAGAATCAGGGGCAACAGCTGAAAAGAAACCCACCCCTGTCCACGGCTGCAAGCACGGCGGATCTCCGCCTCCTGCGGCCGTTCCGATTGGATGGACGGCCGATGGGCTTCCCGTGGGTGAACCCATGACGGAAAGGGCCCAATGGAGCTCCGGCATCTTCTCTTGTCTTGGAACAAACGACGAGTTCTGCAGTAGTGATCTTGAAGTTTGTGAGTTTTTTTTTTCATACTATGATTTTTTTTTTCAGCTAAAGATTGGATTTTTACGCATTTGGTTATTGATTGTGTGAATCTGGTTTTGATGGGTTTGGATTACGAAATTGGGTGTTGATTTCTGATTATTGATCTGTACTAAAAACTGTCTAATTTTTGTGACATGTCAAAAATTAATTGGTTAAGTTGTTGAAGTTTGATTGATGGATTATGACAACAAAGGAAATTGAAGTTTGATCACCGAATTGGGATATATTTTTTTTCCAGCTAAAGATTCGATTTTTATGCATTTGGCTATTTATTGTGTGAATCTGGGATTTTGTGGGTTTGGATTACAGAATCTGGTGTTGAATTCTGATTCTTGATCTCTACTAAGTTGTCTGATTTTGTTAAAAATGTCATAAATTATTTGCTTAAATTGAAGTCTAATTTTCGAGTTTACCACAACAAAGGAAATTGAAGACTTGATGTTTGATTATCGAATTGGGATGTATTCTCGATTTCTATCCTTATTTTCTTTTCGTACGCAAATGAATGTATCTAGATCTTATAATCAAGGAAGAAAGCTCAAAAAGTTTTGTTTTTGGATCATAGATCAACTAATTTCACTCCTACAAGCTAAGCTAATTACAAGCCTTGTTCGAAATTGGATGGAATCTTTTGTCAGCATAGTCTTACATATAAGTTGCATTGTAAAATGGTTTCTTTTTAGTTGTTTGTGAACTGTAATAGTATATTGCCATTAATTCCAATGATATTGGGCAGGTTTACTGGGCAGCATGGCTCCTTGTGTTCTCTATGGAACTAATGTCGAGCGACTTGGGTTAACTCCTAATAATACCTTTGCTAACCATTGTTTGCCTTACACTGGTTTTTACTTAATCGGCCAAACCTTTTTCGGCTGGAACTGCCTCGCGCCTTGGTTCTCTTATCCCGTCCGTACGGCTATTCGCCGGAAGTTTAATTTAGAGGTTAGGTTCTATTATTATTCTCTATTTTTATTGTTTCTGTAAAGAAACTTTCACAATAAAACTTATTGCTAACCATTTTCTCTCTCTTTTTTTTTTTTTAAAATATATTTTTCCTTTAAACACCAAAAGGGAAGCTGTGAGGCGGTTACTAGATCGTGTTCGTGCTTAGGAAGTTTTGTGGAGGACGAGGATCAACGTGAACAATGTGAGACTGTCTGTGATTTTGGGGCCCACATATTGTGCCACGCGTGCGCCCTTTGTCAGGAGGGTCGTGAAGTTCGCCGTAGGCTTACTCATCCTGGGTTCAATTCACGACCCGTTTTGGTCATGATCCCACCTCCCGTACAAGCCATGGGCAACAGCGGAGAATAATCGATACACGTGTGTTTAGTTTCATGTACTTTTGTACTATACCAACTTTATACATACGGTTATGTTGATGAGGCCTTGGTTTTTAAGATGTTTCGTGTGATAATCTGTTCTTTGATTGTGCTTTGTCGTGTGTTCTTACAGCATAAGTATAGATTTTTGTAAAATATTTGCATTGGAACAAAGTGTGTTTTGCTAGACATGGTTCGTTTGTGTAATTTGTTTCTTTTTTTGTGTGATTCGTTTTGTCTCTTTGTTCCGCTTTTCTGCAACATTTTTACGAATGTCATCGTAAAGTTTATGCATCCATCGTTCCTCTATCAAGGGCACCAACCAACTGCAAGAACCCA